TGGTTCATATGTTCCTTTCTAGTCCTTCCCCACTGCAAAAATTAATGCAGTGAAAATGGACTAAATTAAATTAAATTAATTTGTGTACTTACCGGATCTTCGACAGTGTAAAATCCACTGGCTGTACCACCTGTAGTTGTAATGTTATTATTAAATGTTATAAATAACTCCAAAGATCTGATTGTTAATTCTCCCCTCTAACTAATACACATTGCCTCAAAAATCAGTTATGGGAATTTAGTGTTACTAGTAGATCAAGATAACAACTTCTACTCGATAAGCTTCAGTATTCTCATTACCTATTTGATGGATATTGTAAGGAGAAGTTCTAGGAGTTAATAGGGACCTTAAGCAACCAAGATGGCGACGGCAACAAGGACGTAGAAAAACAAGAGATCTAATTGGCAGAACAATAGCTCAGCACGTGCATTGTGAAACTTTGTACATTTCTTGGCCATCCTATGCAAAACAACAACATGAAATCGCCAAAATTTGCATCGTCTGCAAGCCGAAACCGCGACGGCAAACATTTTAATTTCAATTTGGAACTCAACGCTACTTTTATATGTCATACTGAAGTTGAGCTGTGGCGTTATATGAGACAATAAGTTCATGCAGCTATTTTTGAAATTCTAACTAACAGTAGAAATTGATTTTTTAATCGAAGTCTTCCTTGGCATTGCCGTCCTGACTGCTTAAGGTCCCTAAAGAGTTAACTGCTGCACTAAATTTAGTCATATGTGGCTTGTACTGAATGCAAGCAAGTAACATAATCTGACAAACAGTCATGTACTGCAAAAATGTTATTCCTTACCCTCAACATAACTGAGGCCATTTTCAAACAGTTCACAGAATTCCTCTGACTCATCACCCTGTTCCTCTCGCTTTGGAGACAAAAGATACATTGACATATTAACCAACTTTTCCTGTTCATTTTTAAATTTCAAATTTGACTGACATTAAATCTTGTGACCTACCAATTCAATACATGAACTAGCTAACAGAATTACGAAAGCAAAAGCAAATAATGAAGTACTTACCACAGTCCTTGTCTCAGCACCAAGAAAATTTCTTAGATTTACAGCATGGATAGCTGAACAAGCCTTCTTGTCTAGCTAAATGACAAAACAATAAATTCATAGTCAGCATCAAAACACAGTTGCTTCAAATGGAGTTTTCCTGCCAAGATGATGTTGCACTGTCATACTTTGTTTATTTATTTTATTTATACTTAATTTATTTAGACTGGCCTAGTTTAGCTTTAAAGCTGGTTTAAATGGGGGCACGTATAAACAATAACAAGGCCAGACCACAACACCAGGGGCTACATTCCATACTCTTTGTGAAGAATGCACAGGTTCTTTAATGTCTCCTTCTAACCAGTACAGAGAAGATGCAGGTCAGACAGGGCCTACAAATTATCATCCTTGTCCAAGAAGACAAGAAGGTCAAAGCAAAGGCAGCACATTCTCCTCAGTTATTTTAAGATCCTGAGTATTGGTCTGGTCTGGGGCATGAACTCTCAACTTTCTGCACAGCAGTCTAATGCTCTACAACATGAGCTAACCCAGCACAATAAATAATAAATAATTTCTCAAAATTAATACTTATCAGTAATGACTTGTAACTGATATAATTATTTGATACTAGTCTATATCAATTACAAGTCAGTTATGACTTGTAATTGATATATTTGATACTACTACTTAATATATAGTTGGCACACTTACTGAGGCTTCTTTTCCAATCCAGTAAAATATTTGCCAAAACAACTGGTCTGTATCATCAAAACTAGTCTGAATGTGTAAAATGTATCAAATGTTACCACTGATGAAACACAGAAGAAAAACACATAATTACGTAACTATAGAGACACTCCATTGAAACCAAGATTAAGACCACACTCAGTTAAACTCACCTTAAGAACAATGTAGCAGTCAGCTTCATAAAACTTTCCATAGAACACTATTGAGAGAATAAAAGAGTTAAATTCTCTTCACTGCCTTTTTGCTATTTCAAAGTCAAACAACTCTCTTACATTCATCAACAGAAACTGGCAAGAAATTTTCAATTTGCCACACCACCAGACCTGCAAAGATGAAAGCAAGAATTTTAGTCTCCTTGAGTTACAAAATGCAATTTTACTTTTATTTAAATAGAATGAAATTAAAAATATCTACAGGAGTTTGTAAAAACAAAATAATAATAAAACCCAACAGACCAGGGAGGATATTGCATAAAGCTATGTGCTTTATACAACTGGTCTAATCAAATATATTTATTTTTCCCTTGCGATCTTAATTCATCTGTACATTATCTGCTGCAAAATTCCAGGAAAAGCTCTTTCATAAATTAATTCAATTGATTTTAACAACGCATCATACAACACACAAATTAGGTAACTTATTCTTGGGTGACTTGTAAATAATTTAAAACTGAGTATTTTATTTTGTTCAATTTTAAAATTCATGCATTCCGGCCAAGTGAAATGAAATTATATATATTATATATCTTGAAGATTGTAATTTATCCTTAGGCTAATGATCTCACCAGGTTCTTGGCCAGTGTCATCATTAAAGAAATCATGATAATCCAGATTGGGTTTCACCAATGCCTCATTCCACTTTCTACCTCTATGATATGATATTTCAAATAAGAAGAGATTCTTTGTCTGTGACTTAATATTCTAGTAACAGTTACAATCAGTAAATGATAATCTCTCAAAAATATCTTGAGCTGCCCTGCTTGAGCCTATCGTCTTTGACAACATATATGTATCTTATTAACCAAGCGCTAGGGCCGTACTGGGAGAATATCGGCCCGAGGTCTTGACAGTACAGACTGAGCGCAGCGAGGTCCGTACATAAAAGACTGAGGGCTGATATTCTTCCAGTACGGTCCCGAGCAAGCTTGGTTAATAAGAGATTTATTATACGACTGAAGTTCAAAGGGACACAAGTGCAGTATCATTCGGGACCATTCGGGACCATTCGGGACAGTGCCTGGTCCAATACTGAGAGAATATTGACTGGCAATAGAGCATTTTGATTGGTTGATTTTAGTTATTGGCCCTCTGACTGCCCAAGTTGTGTAATAAATTTATCTTATTAACCAAGCACGAGGGCTGCACTGGGAGAACATTGGCCTGAGGTCTTGACAGTACGGACCGAGCGCAGCGAGGTCCATCCAAAAAAGACCGAGGGCGGATATTCTTCCAGTACGGTCCCGGGCAAGCTTGGTTAATAAGAGATTTATTATACGACTGAAGTTCAAAGGGACACAAGTGCAGTATCATTCAGGACCATTCGGGACAGTGCCCGGTCCAATACTGAGAGAATATTGACTGGCAATAGAGCATTTTGATTGGTTGATTTTAGTTATTGGCCCTCTGACTGCCCGAGTCGTGTAATAAATCTCCTTATAAAGACAGCCCCAACAACAAACCCAAAGAGGGTTGAAATGAGTGTGTTCAGAAGTCAAGGGCATGGGATAAACTTACTTTAAAAGTTTCTCAGGCTCATCTGAGTCTTGCTGAAAAGAAAAAAAAAATACAAAGAATCAGTGAGTATCATACATAACAATCACTATAACCTTGATAGTTCTTCCCACTGTTAAGCTCTATGAACTCTTGACTCCCTAACATTATAGTATGCAATACTCATTCTCCGCACTGTTCTCTCGACATTTCTTAGGGTGCAGTCAACGAGAATTTGTTTAACAATTAACAGCTTCTTCAGTTGGTGATCATTTCCTTTATTCTCCTGACCTTAATGTTTGATTCAGGTGGTGATATTGTAAGGAGAAATTAGATGCTGGTCACCCTTGGGGGTTAAAGGGTTAATTGTTATTAATACAAATATACTGTTCCACTTGGCCACAACTGTTGGAGAACAAAAGCATGTCACTGACACAGTTGATGTCTAAAAATGATATTAATCTGCAGGTCAAAACCATACTTGCAAAAACAACTAGTGACATGCCTCTCAAATCCTAGCAGTGCAGGGGGTGTTTACTACAAGAATTTTGTTTACTACTCAATATCCTAACCACATTTTCAAAATACTGTACCCTTGTAAAGACCTCAACTCTAATAGACTCCAGCTAGGAACGCTCAGAAGAGGATTTCTCCTCCTCAACAATTTTACCTTTCACTCCACTCATACGTCTTGTTTGTGACTTACAAACTTGTACCTGCTTCAGTCTGTTATGATATAAAAGGGGCCATTCAGGCAATGGATTTAACCTGTGACCTACCTTTTTACCCAATTTCTTGTTCTTTCCTGAGACTTTCTTCTCCTCTGCATCTTCTACCATACCCTGTAATGGAGCAAATAATAGAGTAAAGAAGGTATCTGGGATGTCATTTCAATTACCTCCTAGGATGATGAGCTTTTCCTCCACTGTATCATCTGTTACCTTTAATTCCTCTGACTGGCTCTGGTATCGTCTTCCTCTCATTCGCATCTGGAAATCATAAATTACAGCAAAGATTTGTCATAAGATTGTCCACAATGATTACCTTTGATTTACCAATTTGACCATTCACTGGTAATGGATTTTGGATACAGGCAATGATAAACACAACCAGTAACTCTCCACCAAGAATGACCTAAGTGAAGTTTTCCCAGCAATTCTAGTAAATCCTTCAAGTTGGTATTCCATGGGTTTGGTGATTAGTCTTCTGAGCAAAGTAGCCCATTGAAATACTGACCCAACTGTATAATGACCCATTAAATTACTGCTGCTTGGAAGCTTTTTCCCCTTTCAATAGCATGAAGCAATTACGAGTATTGCTCCTTTGGCAATTTGAGACCCTGGTCTGTAGCAGATATCTCATATATAAAACTAAACCTCAATTCCTGAACCAATTTTCTTGACTAAAAATCTGCATCATTTACTCACCTTTCTTGCATAAGCATCTTTGTTGGCTAAAAAAGTGAAGGTAACATTCTGTTATGGAAAGCCAAATGGTGCAAAATTCAAGAGGAATATTGCAATCA